AGGATAGATATATATTTTTGTACAACAGAGCTGTAGAATTGCTGTGCAAGAGAGGGGAACAAATCTAACACGTTTTGGAACAAATTAGTGATGTTGCAGCACTCAGTGCAATACAATACAGTGAGATAATGCTACAAAAGAAGTGAAGACTAAAACTAGCCAGCGCCCATTTTTCAGTTGTCCGAGTTAATTTACGCTTAAGCCCCCTTTCTGTAAGCACTCAAATTCATGTTTCATTTGAGGGGTGCTACAGCCCCTGTGAATTAACAATGGTGCAGAGTGCAATTTCTGTCTGTCAACATGGCTACAAGCTATGCACGAGTTAAGCAGAGATATGCACAATCCTGAGGCTTGAAAGGTGGTGCTGGCACATAAGCTCTGCAACTGAAGCATAAAGTTATTAGGGAAATTCATAGACCTCTGCACATTTGTTAGTTTAAGGAAGCTTCTTTCCTTGGCTTCTCATTGCTTATTGTTCATAAGCTATTTTTAATTAGAATGTTGAAGCCAATGAAACATTGTTTATTAGGTGTCATTTTAGCAATATTAACATTTTCCAGACCCAATGGCTAAAGGGTCTAGTTCCATGTTAGGACATCGCCATGGGTCCTGCATTTCTCTCTGGGAAGTCCCAGAGCTACATGGCTGTTCATGCCAGACATGTTGGATCTTCTTCACATAAGCAGCCCACACTGTCAGCACGCGCACAGTCACTCTTGAATATGTCAGACCTACCACATGTGAATTCACTGTGTGATCCACTCAAACAGGTCTAGATATCCGTCAGTTCCACACAAGGGGCAAATTCATTTTTCAACCAAAGGAAGGAAGGTGTATGGCTGTTCCACACTCAGCGTCATTGCACATGTCACTTGTGAATTAAAAGAAGGTGAAACACATTACCTGCTGAAGAGGAGTCGATTCCAGAAAGAGGAGACGTTCTTGGAGCATCCTGACAATCTTCTTCTCCAGGATTTGTCTACCTTTTTTTATCCCTCAAGATATTTTTTCCTATACTCCTGACGGGCAGTTAAATTCTTTTGAGTGGGAGAAACAACATGGCTGACTCCGGTGGGTATGGGGGCACAGGTAATGGATATGTAGTGGGAGGAGGAAGAGCACTCCAGGAGGTGGACCTGGCAAAGCCTCAAGGCTGGCTAAGGGCCTGTGTAGATTGTTTGTGGACAAGAAGTGTTTGCGCTTGGCTAAGAGAAAACTCGGGTAAGGGAAGGGGCAGAGAGTACTGTAGTGGTAGAGCTGGAATAGCTTTAGCTGGTAATAGGCCTCCAGTCAGAGGAAATTTAGGGGGGCAGAAAAAAAGCAGGAGGATTGGTGTAGGAGTAGACTTGAGACAGGACGGAGGTAAATCAGTGGGGAAGTGAGGAGGACTCTGCGTCAGTTGGTAAGAAGAGAGGAAGCTTGGCTTAATATTGGCCTCCGTGAGGCTGGGAAGAAGACTGGGGAATGGGAGCTTACGGGAAAGTGTTGGGGGTGGTGTGGTAAATATTGACAGCACTGCTCAGGACAGCCTGTCCTGAGGCTTTGAGTCCAGAAGTGCGGCAGTTACCATGGGGGGGGGGGTCCTCCCAACGGGTGTCTCTAAAAAATGCTCTCATTTGAGGTAGACTCACCTTTACCCACCAGATTGTTCCCGTCTACTTTATAATATACACTGGATCGCTGGGTACAGCCCCTTTCCATGCTGCTTTTGATTTTCGGTAGGCATTCTGCCTTATCCTTACCAAAACCTGCTACTAGAGAGGTGGCTTGTCCTCCCAATATAGGAAAGTGACTAGTTTAAAGAAAAACAGTATCCTGTATTAGTGGAGAAGTTTTCATGCAGGGAAGTCTTCGTGTATGTTTGAAAAAGCATAATATGTCAGCCTTTCTGTAGCATTGCACTGGCTACTCTCTGCACTGTAAAAGTTGTAATTTCTGTTTCTGTTTGCCTTTTACATTTCTTTTATTTCAGCAGACATGTTAGAAATGCTGTCACAAACCCAGAGTTTTCAGTTGGACCAGTTTAAAAGCTAACCCAATGCTCTTAGCTGGTCTATTGTAAGTGCAATTGTTGGTCTGGTTTGGGATGTCAAAATTAAAAGGTTGAGCTAGGTTTACGTCTTTAGGCTGAATATTGAGTTTTCCCTGAAATAAACAGGAGTTTGTGGGTTGGAAAAGCTCCCTGCTTTGTGGGAGCATACTGAAAATTAGGGGAGGGGAGGAGGAACTGTAACCTGACCAATGAAGAAACTCTGTAGCACTGGCGTGTGTTTGGGAGTCACCTCTTCTCAGTCAGAGCAAGCTTCATCCAAGCCTTGGCGGAAGAAGGAGAGATGCAGGGAAGAGGTTTTCATCGACCCTATCAGCTCTTCATGGTTTTGATTTAAGTAAGTACAACTGCTGAATCATATGCTTCCCCTTTTGGTCAGATAAGTTGCTAATAGTGAGACAGTAACTATAGGAAAATAAACTAAAAGCAGATCAAAGATTAAATTCCTGTGGGACTTCTTTCTCTTGGATTTTGGCTGCTCCTTATAGACATCTTCTGCTTTTATGATCTTTTTACCTAAACTCTTAATAGCTGCCGACTATTAAATTTCAGGACTGATCAAGTTTCACTACGATCCTTGGTACCAAAAATTCCTGTGTTGGTGGCTTGATGGCTTTAATTTTTGTGCATTTTGGTCCTAATTCTTACTGCAATCAAGAATCAAAAGCACTTGTCCATCTTTCTGGCTGTAACTACTACAAAGTGCACACGTACTATCCCAGTGTTACAGGTGCCAGTATAGTTTTCTGTTACTAACTTTCACAGATTGAAGCTATAGGGATTACCTTGTTGTAATCTGCAACCAGACCATAGAATTTTGCTAACGATAACTCCACTGATCTCTTAAATTTTTCTCAGAATTATTGCACATTTTAATGTTGTGAATTCGATGAAACATTTCTGAACCTGCTGTCTTCACTCAGGAAAACTGTAGAAACCCTCCCCCCACACACCTGAAGGAACAACAGGAACCTCTTCAGAAAACTGATCATGTGTAAGACCTATTAGTCATCTGAACTATGTGAGTAGAGATGTTAGACTTGGGAATTCAAACACAGAGGGCTGGATTTTTTTTTTTTATTTTTAGGAAGCCGTATGTGAGTGAAGCAGCAAAAGCAACGTAAAACACTGCCTACTCCAAGCTAGTCATTTAGACTCTGTTTTTAGTCAGTCGCTCTGCTTATAAGCCTTTTTAGAGGATGGCCTGTTTTAAGATAGATGTCAAAGAGAGGTGGAATGAATCATATTCTAGGGACGCCTCTGACTCTCCATTGACCATGGAAACAATCAGTGTAAGCTCTGCAGCTTGCTTTTAGACAACTGAAGGTAGAGGCAATGAATCCATTAAAAACGTTATCTACATCATCTTGCTGGTTCAGAGTACAAGACTGCATCTGCTTCATGGACAAGCAGGGTGAGCTTGGCCCTGCTAGGAAGTCAGTATGAACAAATCTCTAATTCAAGTCTTGACCTTCTCGTGGATAAGTGTAGTGAATTACATTTCTCATAAGACATATTTTGCAGCCTGCAGCACATTCTTGCAAATTGTCCCAGAACATGCCCTCTGATTTTTGAACTTTTAGTTTTGTTTTCTTAAAAAGTGGATATGGAAATGGTCTCACTAACGCGAGGCATAGCATTAGCTCTAGTTGATAATCCTTCGCTAATATGCAAGAATCCCATAGCTCTTCCAGACACAGTTCTGCATTAGTCGATTCTCTGGCTGGTTACCTTTTATTATCCAGTACTTTTTTCCAGAAGCGCTGCTTTCTGAATCACGGTCTCTCATCCTGTAATGAAATACATCTTGTACGTGTATAATGTAATCCACTGATCCCCTCTACAGTGCTAGGAAGGTAAGATGCCACAAACAGAGAAACTATAGCTGACACAGCAGATCCATCAACTTCAGAAAGTAAATGCCATCACCCCTGAAGATGTCTGTCTTTATTAGATCCTACATCTGGATCTTTGGCATAGGTGAATAGGATGCAAGAGCTTGTAAAAATCATGTAGCTCCCCTTTGGTTATCATAACAAAGAGGCAGAAAAGCCTTTTTGGATCTCCTACTTTAATTTGCTGCCAATGCAGAGAAACGTATGAGGGGGCCCAATATGAGCAATGATAGGCACTAATTTGACTGAAGGGTATCAACCTCGTGTAGTGAAAGAGCAAATGCCAGGAGACCAATGAATTCAAACATAATGCACAAATACCTGCGTATCTGTATGTGAAAGTGTTCTCTTCTGTACCCTTCTTTTAGATCCTAATTCAGCAATGCACGTGTGCCTTACTGCATCAGGACCAAAGATATTTAAATCACAGATGAGGAGACTGCCTATAACTAAATGCAGATGACTGGTTTGGAGACACAAAGATTATTTTGTGATTAAACAGCTACACTTTTTAATGATTTCTAGTTCAGTAAGGGACATGAAAGTGACTCTTTGAACAGAGTTCTTTCTCCCTGCTTCCCTTTCACATTTATTAATAGTTGTATGTTACTTGTATTATTTTTTCATCTTAGTTTAATTGTTGGCAGAGACTGGAATGTTAATATTACTGTGTACAAATAATTTATTGAATAATAATATATGAAAATGGATCTGATATGCTTCTCTATATGAATAATACTCTATTATTGAAATTTATTAATCAGCACATTCCACTCGATCAAACCTACGTTTTGTGAGGAAGAGGAGGGGAGGATGTGGAAAGGCAGTTAAGAAGAACGAAGTACAGTGGGCTGACTAAATCTGAATAATACTTAGCCTCCGAAAACGCAGAGAATATCAGACAGTGTAACTCCAGTCATACTGATGAGATATAGTACAGTTATATGCAGTCGTGATAACAGTTCATATATTGTCAATATTAATAGTGGTGGTTGTTGAGAATACAATTTTAAAATAGGTACGTACAATTTTATTAAGTATAAAAAGACACCGTGTAGAGCACAATACAATATATTCCATCTTTAATTCTGGCAGTGTTGAAGCCCCACTGTCTTAACTGATATTGTTGCCAAAAAACAGTGGATAGAATTGCTTCTCTGTATAAAATGAGTCTTCTCTGGGAGTATTTATGCCATTCAGTTTTAAAAATATGATGATTTCCTTTCAGTGGCTACTTACTTATACTATACAAACACTGTCAAGACTGGTGGCTAAACCGTACATTGTTTTTTTTAACCTATGCCATGATACTGATATTTTCCCCTGCTGTGCTTTGCCTCTATTTTGAGAATAGATCCTTCAAAAAATTGAAAGGAATTTCTGTTGAAAATATTTGCAGAGGGAATTATTTGTTGTTATTTCTGATTTTGTTCACAACTGGAACATTGGTTCAGAGCGTTTCTACGTTCCTCATATTGCTAAACTTTCACAGACATCAGCCAGAGTTTTCAATATGCAAGGATTGTAGGGTTCTACCCTACGCTATTTTCCCATCTGTTTTTCTCTAACGTAGCACAGAAGACACATGCCTTAAGCGATTACTTATCAGAATGTGGGGCTTCAGTGTTTCTGATCACTTAAAAGCAGATGATATTTATAGCCTTCCAGTTTTGACTATTTTCTTTGGAAAAGCAGACATGTAAACTTAAGAGCTTAATTATATATTTTGTTTTTACACTCCAATTTGGTTTGACTAAAAGAAAGTTCAGAACTGTAACTTCAAACTGATTTATACGGTAACGTGTCAGTCTTAAAAGAAACAACTTACACTTCCTCTTCTCTAAAATATATCAACGTTAGACTGGAAAATAAATTAAGTAATACAGAAAAGCTGAGATTATGCTATCACAGGAATATCTGTCAAACAAAGGTCGGTCTTTTGCTAACATTAGCTTACTACATTTGCAATACATGCTAAGCAAAGACCCTACTTCTCTAACAGGTACATTCTGACAATATATATTTTATGGAATAAATATATAATATATCCAGTTATAGACTTCTGAATAGTAGCTATAATAGATACAAGCAATACCTACATTTAAAAATACAGTTCTAGGATTCCCTCACTTTACTACTAATAAAATTAAAACTGACCTAAAACTTTCTCACTCTGTTGATGCGTAATAAAATATATGGAAACACCAAGAGTAAAAAGCCAATTGCTTCTACAAATGGAATACTTTATAAATATAGTAAATTGCTATTTTCAGAGCGAAAAATTGAAAATTATAAACGGGAAGTTAGGTTAAAACAACTCTACAATATATAGTACAAAGTGGCAATGAAGTGTGATACATGAATTTGATATCTGTGGCAAAATTTTGAACTGATGTAGCTGTTCATCTCTGGAGATAACTGCAGAGAAAGGTTCCATCCCCAAAAGCAGCCAATCTTGATCTCCTTAAATGAAACTTGCACTGACTACAGAAAGCCAATTGGCCAATTTTACAGAGTAAGGAGTGCAAGATTAGATCAAACAGAATTACTGGAAGCCCTGGACTTCTGTCTTAGAGTGTTTACTTACCATGTTGTTCTCACTAGGAATAGTCACAGCCGTGTATATGTGACTGTAGTGTTTTGAAAAGGCTTATAATGAAGGTACCCTCTATATGGCTCTCTTACTAAGTTATTCTTATACTGCACATTCTCCAGATGAATTCTGTTCCATGTTCCTGTGGTTGTTTCCTTTTGCTGGAATACTGAAGCACAGCTCCAATTGCTTGATTACAGAACTCTTGATCTATGCTTTTTTTTTCCTTGAGAATAACCTAGAATTGAAAAACATATATTTTTCAAAGTAAATACAAGGAATTGAGGAATTAAGTTGGCTGGCTGTCTCTGTCTGCCTTTTCTTCCTTTCAGTTTAAAGAATAATTTAAAATCAGGAAAAATGCCTTACTTGCTAAAGAAAAGTTTTAGTGTAAGTGAAAATGTGAAAAACTATATGTGAGACTGTACCACTTCTGTTTGTCTTCTGCAATGGCTCTATTTTAGGCAGCAAATCAAAAGTGACTGCATGAAACATCCCCTTTTACACCTCTTGCCTGAGTGGAGGCTCTAAAGGAAGATTCAGATCCCACCAGCAGAACCTTCATAGACTTTTTGTTTGCAGCAACAAAATTGGAATTTTGATGGTCACAGGACAGGTGGTTTACAAGCTGTTTTTTCTATATGTATCAACAGAGATCAGTACCAACATTAATAACAATGAAAGCACCACTGGGAGCTTCAGGTTCTGATCTTGTGCCATTTGGGGACCTTCTGAGTCACTTGCAGACTATTAACGGCACAAGCATCCTGTTTCGGGAACCCCTGCTATGAGATGTGGAAGATCAAGATTTAATTCCTTGCTTTCCTACACACTTTGTATTTGATCTGCTTTGGGCAAATTCAGCATATCCATAAATGTATAAATGTGATTCCTCACGGACTTCAGAAGTGCCTATATGGAGAATCTGGGCTTTGGTATCTTTGTGCTTCATACGCCATCTGTTTTGACTACACTGGAGAACTTGCAAGCCTCTTGGAAGCTACTGTAATATTGAATGCCAGGCAAGAGTGAATGAAATATTCCCTGCCAAACTGTAGATAAGAAGTAGGCACTTGTGGATTCCCTGCAGAGGAACCACAGAGTGAAGTTTGGGTTTCTTGGAGCAGAGAATGAACTAGAAAGACTTCTCCATATTATCAGTAGTAAATCAACTTCAGCTCACAGTAGTAACAGAGTAGTTGAAAAGACATTAAAGTAAGTCTAAATCTGGTAGCCCCTTCTTCTTACTTGTTACAAACGCTCCATTTTTTTAGGATCCAAGAGTGATCCAAGGGAATACAAACTTCTTATGCAGTCTTGTTTGCCCATATGCCAAAGCTGCACAGTGAGTTTTGATTTCTGGGTTCTTAGTTGGAAATTAGCTCCAGGATTTGGTAAGACCTTTCATCTTTTTTCAAAATGCATTTTTTTTGAACAAGCACTCTTTATCTCACTGCAGCAAGTGCTCAGAAGCCCTTCTTGGAATCGGTCTTTAAGGAAGAACAATGAATGCTCTCACCTACGACATATGATTTTGCTGTGTAGTTTGCTGCTGTTGCTGTTGCTGAATGAGCAATTGCTGCTGTTGTCGGCGTCGTGCTGTTCTCAGTTTTTCGAAACGAGCCTCCATCTCCTCCAGCACCTTGGGAGTGTAGCGTACCACCAGCTTTACGCTATCCTTAGCTGCCTTTAGGAGCTCCACTGCTTTTTCATGGTGTTCTCCTTCCACGCTCTGGAAGCAAGCATTTAACAATAAAAATGCTGTTTTGATCCAGAGTTTTGTCCTCTTTTTATACTTGCCGCCATGGAAAGGCTGTTAGTGTTTTAAGACATTTACGTAATTTAGATTTTTCAAGGGACCATTAAAGGAAAGAGTTAAATTAAATAAGATTTATGCAGTATTGAGAATGCATTCATTTTTACATTTAAGACCAATAGCCCAACTAATCTGCTGTAGGTGGCATTACAAACCTGATTTCTGATCTGTGTGAAAAGGAGGGGAAACACTCCACAAGCTTCATGAAAATAAAAATAATGTAAAAAATACCTCCTGCAGTAAAAACCTAACTAATCTGTTTGAAGGATACAAAAAAGTAGAATACAGTGAAGATAAAACCTTATTTAAATGTTGGTAAGAAGCGAAGGAACTACAAGTTTGAAACTGCCCTTTACTTCTTGTGCCCTGGCCCTGTATGGATTCTATATGTAGAAATTAAGCATTTGCCTAACTGTAGAAGTGTGAACATGCCCGTTACTTTCTGGGATACCTTATGTGTTAGAAAGTTAACAGGATCACTCACGCACTTTACATGTATATGATACTGGTTCTCTATTGGAAATAACTGGTTAGTTGTAAGCAATCAAACACTAACAACTGAAACATTTCAAGTTCTTGAGTAAGGAACCATTTTCCCTCCTTTTCTTGAAAATGGTTTATAGTAAAGTGATATCTGCTGTGAAATCAAACGTTTTCCCTGAGGGGTCAAGCTCCAATTTGTATGCTAACATTGTTTTAAACAGTAAATCTCCCCAAAAGGGAGATAATTTGGCTGCAAAAAGAGTACTTAATGGCTTCCATTAAATGGCTTGACTGGAGTGCTTTTCAGGCACGCAGATTGGTCTGCACCCCAGGAAAAAGCGTGGAATTTTCTAATGGTGTATGATTGTTTTAGGATATATGCCAACAAACATAACTGTCTCTGGGCAGAAAAAAAAAAAAACCCTCAAAACTGAGATCATCACATGGATTTTAGACTATTAAAAAAACATTTTCTTCCTACACAAAATAAGAAATCAAAGTTATACTACATGCTGTGTTTTAAAACTCTTATGTCTACCATGCTATTTAAAAGGAAACTATATTCAGAGGCCTCCAAAGGGAAGCAGCAGCATTCAAAATATTTGAAGTTCAATTCATACTAAAAGAATAATTTGGCATCGTTATAGCAACTGTCAGATGTTAGAAGAAAATTCTGTCTATTTTCATCTCTCCTATTTGACTGTGAGTAGCACTGTGTAAGAAGAGTGAATAAGAATTACTTCTGCTGTGGCAGACTATGAGCTAGAAATAATGCCATAGAAATTACAAAAAGCAAACACAATACACTCTACATAAATAATATACACTGTACAATTCAACCTTATCATCTTGCCGTTTATACTCCTGCCTCCTGTTAAATGTCCTTCAACACGGTAATCCAAATAATTATTTCACGGTTGGGTCAACTGACTGTACTCAAGTGTTTCTACAGAAATGTAAGATGCTTCAGAAAAGGTTAATGCAACTTACAGAAATAATGAATGTCATTTCAGGTGCTGAAATGATTAGCAGAAACAGAGGAAATCTGGAAGTAAATATCCACTTGGTTGTTGAAATAAATGACCTAATGTTTTTGAAGTATAAGTTCATGAAATTCCTCCAATGTGCCTCCTATTCATGGATCTTAAGTAAAATTTTTGACTTGTGATGATCAGATTTGTTAGAAGTGACTGGGATAAACCTGCTGAACAAGCATAGCTAGCAAAAAGTAATTTGGAGAAAACAGAATTTCATTACAAATATTTGAAAAAGATGAAATTATTGTTGCGTAAGAAACAGTGAATGTGTCTCATGCTCCAGACTGAGCTGAAATAGAGAGCTATAGATGCACAGGACGTTTTGTGAAACTGCTTTAAGGAAGTAATCATGGATACCAATTAAAACCCTTTCCTCAAGTTCCCCACCCCATAATTGCTCAGTATTAGGAGAGGAGATCATAACTAGTGATTTAGTTAAACAGTTAATGTGACTAATTATTTTTTTGTAACTCATTGCTTTGTGACATGGTTATAATGGTTTCTGTAAACACACTTCTCATCCTGAAAGGAATAGTATGAAACTTTGCATTGTTCTATATTTCACTTTTTCCTCATGAATTGTGGTCAGTATGTCTTGGCACAGACGTTCAGAAGAAACGTCACTGCATTCATAGTGTTGTCATTATCTGTTTTGCTCTCGCGCTACTCAGAACAGGCTGTGAAAAGAAGTTGCATACTGCTAATTTACAGGAAGTAGCTGAAATATTCATTTGCTTTCAAAGAGTTTGCTGGTTCTAACTGACATCAACAAGCGATTGTAATGGTATCTGCGCTTCAGGCAAATAACAACATGGTATATTTTAATACTTCACACCACTTAGTAAATTTTATTTAATTCATGATTGCCTATTTTCTTCCCCATTTGCCTCAGGACTTATTCTTCCAGTTTACAGCCAGCTTTTTCTAATTAGAAATGAAGGATTTGACTTTGTCACTATCCAGGTCAATGGAAAAATCCCATGGGCTTAAACAGTTATAGTACAGAATTAAGTCTAAAGCTCTGAACCACAGCCAAAGCGGGGAAAACAACAAAGGCAAAGGAAATGATAGTGCTTCTAAATATCAGTCCTTCTCTCCAAACTTACCTAACTCAGGACTAACCAATGACGGTCAAGTTTTCAGCAGCACTCAATACCATTGCTCAATACTTGCTTTTAACATCTTTATTGCTGCTTGCACTGATATACCCAAGACATTACAAATGCTTTACCTGCATAGCTGTAGCTGTGGAACTTATATAGAAAAAACCCTTGTAGTAGGAGAAAAGAGTTTATACCAGGAAAGGGAGTTCTGCTGCTGCTTGATTTCTCCTGCCTTGGTAAACCACAGAGGTTGTGGTTTTTGCTGACTGGATTACACTGGTTCAGGACATTGTGAGGATCTGACACTCATGCTACTGCCCACCAAACATGCAATTTAATAAATTTGCTTGACTAAAAATGTGCAATCCTACTTCAATGCCAAAAATTCAGAGAGATATAGAACAGGGTATGAATACTCAGAATGCATAACCTGATTTAATATCTAATTTTTGATTATATGTATTTATTTATATACACTTACATATTTATTTCTCTTGTAGCATTGACAGATTGCCTCAAACAGAACGATACAAAATGCTGTAGAGATAAGAATAGCTGAAAGAACTGCAGATACAGTGCAGGGAAACACTAATCATTACTGCATCCAGGCATACAGAATTGCAGTAAATATAAACAAAAAAAAATTTCCACTCTTGCAGGCAAAATAAAGAAAGAATCTGATTGTTACCTCACAAGCTGAGAAACTGAGAAGAATATTTCTATTAGATACTTCTAAGCAAAGGCTTGGGTGAGAAATTAGCCATTATAAATCTATTTTGCATGTTCTTCCTGTATCTGACTCACACCAGGTATCTGATAAATGCAGAACCTTTGCCAGATATGAACAGCTATCAGCAAGTGCCTTTGCTGAGCCATCTGCAGGACTTACTGCTTTCAATTTCCTTTACTTTACTTTTAGGGGGTGTGGGACAAAAGTATGTAACAAAATCTCCAGCACAATGAGAAAGCAATTTTTTTAACATCCAATGAAAGAGCTCACGGAACTGACAGTCATCCCAGTCATGCTGAGATAATGAATCTGAATTCTGAACATGCAGCTCTAATTTTATGTTGATAATTATAAAGTTGGATAACCACCAACTTCTGAGCATAAACAAGTGGCAGATACTTCATTTTCATCTCATGTTCCATTGCCAAGCTGTCTGTTGTATTGTACATACGGTATATTATTTGCTTCTCTCCAGATAAATGAAGAGAAGCACAGAGTGAACTACTCCCAGAGAACAATGTTAAATTTAGCCGTTTTTCCTCCTGTCTCAAGCTGTCTGCAAACAAATTACCGCTTCTACAATTTTTGCCTTTTTATGAATTGTATTGTATGGGCTTAATTCAGCCCAAGATAGGTTTGTGAACTGTTGCTGATAAGCATTATTTCAAGTGTTCAAGAACTGCAATTCAAACTTTAAATTCTGTTGTTGAGACTCAGAACATGGAAATATTTTTGCTGCACCTCAGAATCAGCTTTCTGGTGTGCCAACATGCAATTAGGAATTCTACATTGTATTTTCTGCTATATTAGCGTAAAATATACTCTAGAGCACATTCATGAAACTGTTTGAACGGAACGTCATTAAGTAGAGGTGACAACAGAGAAAAAGTCAATATAGCTTGACGTTTGGAGGTTCACCACTTTCCTTCCCAGTATTTGCCTAGAAAAGGATTTTCTGAGAACTCTGTCAATCAACTAGTAAATATAACCTCTTCTTACCTGCGTTTTTTATTCATCTCTTGAAAGTAGTGCTGAACAAAATGCAAAATTATTTGACCTACCTCCAACCAGTAAAGTAATTATTAAATGCTTGATTGAATTAGTTTTCCTGGAGAGTAAATGATCATTTTGGTGGTTTGTCTTTTTTGTTTTGCATTTTTTCCCTCCACATTGTGTAGAGGGACTAGCCAGCTTACAGACTTATTCTGTCTCCAGATAACAGGATGGTTTATAGAAGAAGCGGTAAAAATCTGTTTGAAGTGTTGCAGTATTATTCTGTCTCAAGAGAGGAGGAATAACTATCGTCGTGTGAAACAGATGACTGCTCATACAACATGAAAGCATTCAAAAATCAGCATTTTGCGTTCTTTATAGGCTTGCAATGAAGAGAAAATTAAAGTTGGAAAGTCTTATATATATGACCATATAGAAATACAGATTCAGGAATTGCTCCTACATGCCTTTGGTGTAGTTTAGCAGGAAGTTGGGATGGAGGTTTTGCATGAAAAAGGGTTGCATTTTCAGTAAGAGAAGTGTGAGGTTATGTGCTAACCTGTTTTGATAGTTTACATTCCCTTCTAAAAGGGAATTAGAGCAAAATGAAAGGCAGAATTTGACCCATATAGTTGGAACCTTATTTTAACTTCTTCCTATTCCAACATCCCTTTTCATTTTTTTAGCTCCATACTGATGTTCAGAGTGAAACCACTGCAAAACGCTCCACCTTAAAGTACTGACATACATGAAAAATGACTATGCAGAAGTGTACCTTTTTACTGAATGTATATGCTCCCTGCACGTATTTGCTTGAATAGCTGATTTCATTGACAAAATACTATAGCTGCATGAATGTCAGTCAAAGAAATCTTGAATCCAGGCTTGACATCCATAAATCCATGGGCCCTGATGGGATACATCCACGAGTGCTGAGGGAGCTGGCGGATGTTATTGCTAGGCCACTCTCCATCATCTTGGAAAGGTCCTGGAGAACAGGAGGGGTGCCTGAGGACTGGAAGAAAGCCAATGTCACCCCAGTCCTCAAAAAGGGCAAGAAGGAGGGACTCGGGAAACCACAGGCCTGCCAGCCTCCCCTCCATCCCTGGAAAGGTGATGGAACAGCTCCTCCTGGAGGTCATCTCTAAGCATGTGGAGGACAAGAAGGTGATCAGGAGTAGTCCGCATGGGTTCACCAAAGGGAAATCATGCTTCACCAACCTGATAGCCTTCTAGGATGGAATGACTGGCTGGGTAGATGAGGGCAGAGCAGTGGATGTTGTCTACCCGGACTTCAGCAAGGCTTTTGACACTGTCTCCCATCACATCCTCCTAGGTAAGCTCAGGAAGTGTGGGCTAGATGAGTGGACAGTGAGGTGGATTGAGAACTGGCTGGATGGCCGAGCTCAGAGGGTTGTGGTGAATGGCGCAGAGTCTAGTTGGAGGCGTGTAGCTAGCGGTGTCCCCCAGGGGGTCAGTCCTGGGTCCAGTCTTGTTCAATAT